TTAGTGAAAAGAGAAGCATTTAAAAAAAAAAATACAATTCTATATTTTTTTTACTGTAAAATTGGATCTTGCACAGACTGGCAAATATCTCCGTTAGAAACCTGCGACAGGTAAGTGAAATGCCCTGATAGAGAGTTGGTGTTATTTTGGGATAATCTGAATCTTTTGGGAATGTAAGGGGTTAAGATAATTTAGGATTTTGGCAGGTGGCACCTAACCGGCTCCTCTCGTGAGCATGCCAGTTCCTGTTACTGAGAAGTGATGTTGCAAGCCCGTCCCCTCACTTGCTGATAACTGATCAGTCACTTTCTTGTTGCAGCTCCTTGTCCAAGATGATTAAAACCGGATATGCTGCACTGCTGCTCGAATACTTCTTCACTGCAGGCCCCGATGAAGTGAGAGCATGGACCATCAAGTCTGTCATGATGGAGGATAGCTAGTCATTACACAAGCTTTTATTTTGTGCGTCCAGGATAACTTTAATTATTTGAGAGCTGCTGAACGGTAAAAATGGAGCAGCATTGATTGAGGCAGGTAACAATTGATTCTGCCTATTACACAGTCTATATTTCTTCATTCTGTTGAACCTGGTTACCCCCCCCTCCTGCAAGCTTAGATAAGAAACGCAAGCATTGTACTTGGTTAATCTGTGTGACCAAGGTTCCTCTCCAGTTAAATTGATGCTGCTCTTCATTCTGTATTCACTAACTTTGTTTGGTTTGTGGGTGTTTAAGTCCTCCCTTCTTGTATTTTTTTTTTTATCATCCCCCAATTCTTCTCCTGGGTTATATTTTCAGCTGTGAAAGCAATATAACATCATTACACTCCTTGCAGATACACAGCTGGCTTCCAAAACGTAAAGCCAGTGTGTAATAATTCATCTCTCTAAGTGGTTTATAATTTAAGAGGTAGACTTTGTTCTGATAATGCTATACATTCCATCCTGACACTAATAAAAAAAAAAAAAAACACGATGATATGGGTTTAAAACATTGATATGCGCTGATTGCGCCCGTGGCGACTGGCTAATTTGCTCCCACAGGACAATAAAGAGTGGAGCGGTGTTGCTTTTAAATGGAAAATACCCCGTGTGTGATGGCTCCTATTATTTCCACATACATTGAAGCGTATGTAGCTACAAATTATGTATTACAAAATATATAATTATTATAGGAACACACAAAGACTTCAGCATTCCTTTGATTTCCATCAAAGACGTAGAATTTCTAGAGAGAAGCTGCACAAATTTAAATCTGATTTATTTTTTTTCCCCGCTGCTACGTAAGATTGTGCCTAGAAAATGTATTCCAAGTCTCTCAGCTGTGACAGGGTCAGAGGTGGCTATAAAATACATTGCATATACATATATTTTCCTAAGAACACCGCAAGACTGTTGTGATAGTTTAATAGTTCAGTAATTATTTATTTGGATACACATACATTCACAAAGACATTCATATATAGACATAAACATAAATGTGCAGGGAACAAAATTATAAAAATGGCTAAATTAGGAGTTTGTTTTGCATTTTATAAGTTAATTGAGATTACTTACTGGGAGCTAGCCAAGTAAATTAGACTTTCTGCAGAAATGTAAGTAAAATAACCACCAGAAATTTAAAACATTCAAAATCTAAAAATAATACAAGTTGAAAATCTCCTGAATGATATGTAAACAAGGGAGCATGTCACTTGTTATAGTACGTTGAGCTCTGTGTTTTTCATGGACGTATCTGATTTAATGATGTGTATTTGAGATCCTTATTCCACTGTGAAATTTGTAAAATTACAGCCTTAAAAGTTTAAAATGAGAAAGTTTGAAAATTACTGGGCGTTAATACGTTAATATCTAATGAAAATATATGTAAGTTTTAGTGTTTCAAAGTTTTATTTGTTAAACTTGTAACATGACTCTCCATTAAGGAGGAATTTTGAATGACCCGATAATTGTTTTGTGTGATCTGCCGGTTATAGAATCTGGTCCGTATTCTATAATTTAAAGGGCCTCACATTTTTAAGCGATGATCGCATTATTTAGTAGTTTTCCTGTTGGTGAGATAAAAGATATAAACGGTCAACTTCAGTGTGAGGAAAAGGAACGTGACATTTCAGACACATTGAGGTTGATTTACTGAAGGAGTTGAGAATGTTCTCACAATGTAAATATAATAATATTTACTCCAGTTATCCTTACCATGTGCAGATGAAAAAAGTAAACTGGGATATACTTTTCACAGGACTGGATAACTGAAGTGAATTCTCACACATTATTGTGTGAATATTCTCAAATCCTTTAGTAAATCAGCCTCAGGGTATTGAAAGCCTTGCCTATATAGGTTCAAAAAAGATGAATACTTTCTTTAATGGAGTTTGTAGACATATTTGCATTAGGCTTAAATATATTCCCTCTATCGAGCTCAATCAGCTAACCAAAGTAGGCCTCAAAATTCCTTCTGGACTCTTCGTAATTGTATTTAGAAGTTTATTAAACCAGAGTGAAAATAAGGCCAAAAATATGTTTTAGAACATTTAGTCTTTTCAGTACAGGTACTCTTTTGTTCATCATCAGTCTCTAAAGTCTAGTGTGGGTTTGGCGGTTTTACCTTCCAAACAATAAAATGTATTCATAAAAGATTGCCTTGATCTGTGAAATAATACATGAACAAAGTGTTTGAAGCGCAATCCAAGTGTACCTGGTTTTAAACACAGCAGATAACACATTGGAGGGGTATCTGTGAAAGAAGGAGAAGCTGTTTTATTTAGGGCCTTAGCGGAGAAAAATGAAGGTTAGTTCTAATAAAAAGACTGATTGCAACCAGCCTGATCCTAATGTGCTCAGATATTTAGCAAGGTAAGCATCAGTGACTATCTATATTAGTCCAATATATCTTGTATTGTAAAAACTATGCTTTGCCATGCCAGGAAACCAAGAAGCTTCATACGCATTATTAGGCAGCGTTAGGTCAGTGTTATTTCTCATATGTGGGTGGTGTGCTGTGGAGCTGCATGGTCTGTAGTGTCACAGCTATCTGTCATCACCGTCAACAGTACGTGTCCCTGAATGAGCCAGATTTCTTCTAATTTAAAAAAAAAAATATAAATTGACTTTGTAATCATGGTATTTATAGTTTGATGATTTATAATTCTGATTCAAAAAATATGGTCTGGAATCTTGTCACCCAAAAAGCAGCATTTTTAAAAAAACTGTTTTTTAATAACAATGAGGCTAAAAAGAAACAAGACCTAACATATGTATATGCTTTAGGATCTGGAGTTGTTTTTAAATATAGACTGCAAAATTACTTCCAATGCTAAAGGATATATTAGTAAAAAAAGTGT